TAAATAATAAAAACGATCACATAATTAAAGACGTTTCAAAACACATTTATACTTGCTTTATGCTTAGGGAGCAAAAAATCAAACAATAACTTCAGTACCAGCTGCCTCAAAAAACTCCCACAAAACACAGATTTACATTTATTTACATTATATTACAATTATTCATTTATCTCTTATTGTGAGATATGTATTTATTTCATTCATTTACAGTATTTTTAGTATTTCCTTTTATTTTCATTTTTTTTTATTACATGTTTTTGACTTTATTGTATTTTATGTCAAGATCTCAAATGGGATACGATAGCAATAAAGAATTAATTACTTACTTACTTACTTACTTACTTATATGCCCATCTACATAACAATAGGAGTTCTCATGAGGGACATATACTACAATTTGAGGGGCAATAGGGGGTAGGGGTCGGGTTAAAGTTAGGATCAGAGGTGGGGGTAAATTGGAAAGACGAGTTTCGAATTCTCTGCAGCTGGCTGCTACGTTACTGAATGTTACAATAATGAGAGGAATTTTTAACCCGTCATCCGTGTGTGAGCCCCACGTATATATATCTCGCGTTACAATATGATGGTACCGTGATCGTACCGCTATAAATGGTATTTTGTCCTATTTCATTGCCGGGTTCCAGGGGAACACTTTACATTATGGGGGCGTGTCGCACCTCAGGGTTGGGACATACTTCCGGCTTTGTTTTTAATTGTTTGAATATAGGGGTATGGGTTTGCGTGCATTAAGATCTAATAAGTCACCCAATCCAGCTTCAAGTTGTTCAGGTGTCTAGAATATATAATAATATCCTTTTTTTAATTGTACTTCTCAGAGTTGCTACTTTTTCTTAACAACAAAATCATATTATCCCTACACAAATGCTATATAATGTATCTTGGATACCTCAAATGGCAGTATTTTAGTTTATTATAATGAGATATATTTTTAGGAGAAATGCCTGGTCTATAATGGGGTTCACATTGAGCCACACACCCGTATCACCAAACTGTAAGCGTGTATGGAATGAACTGAACAATACGTTCTTAATATTTTACGAAGAATTCGTAAATTTACAAAATCAACGTATTCGAAAGAAAACTGGAGATGCTATAATAAAACATCCCCGTTTTAGTCTGCAAATGATTTCAGGGTTTCCCTCCAGGGTTCGTACCACACTTAGTATTAAACGACGTATAGCCTGACGAGTCGCTAGAGTTGCGCCCTCCGCGGTGCTCCAACCCCAACACAGTGAAGTCTGATGCCGTTCGGTCGGCGAGGGCCTACTCATACATACATGTCAAGCTATTTGTCGCGTAGAACCCATAGGGAACAAAACATTGCGAATCCCAAAGTTATTAATGCTTTGCACACATTGATGATGTTGTAATATGACATACAAGTAATACTGACGCACAACTAGTTGCGTTTTAGCAACGCGCTTTGAGTTTGTGCGTCAGTGGCGCGTCATTACGATTTTAATAGAGGGCACACTACACCCGGGTATCACACAAGGAACTACTAACAACAAAATGTTACGTCATTAATAATAATAACAATAACGTCATTACTAATAATAACAATAACTTTATTAAACGACTGAATCGTCTTTTGATACAGCATGGTAAATAGGAAAAATAAATAAAATCACAATACAATTTTTGACAGTAACACACATTAGTATAACATATTAGAAAAAGAGTAGTTACCAGAATATTATCAGGTCTAATTAGATCTGCTGTATTTTATATTTATTCTAAAGTAAATTCCCATTTCAATATCATGCGACACTGGGTTGTGGTCGTTACGACTGTCAGGAAAGGACTTCGACTTTACACACGTGGTAGATAGTAAACAATAGCGTTTTTTTTTAATGACGTCACTACGTCATGTGATTAACTATTCATGAAGGCCGTCGCTTCGGACAAACAAAAATATAAACAAAAACTAAAATAGCCACAGCTATTTATTTATAACTGTTGTGAAAATGCGAAAATTTCTCCAGGCCTTTGCTCTGGCAAAAAAAAGTTGGGATTCAAAACAAATCACAGCAAAGTGACACAGTTGGGGATTTAAAATGTCGTTATCGTCTGTACGAATTGTCATCACGTGATTCCTTGCATACGATTTGACGGTTCTATTTTTTAGCAAGGCCTAGTAAGCGTGACATTGAAAATATGGAGAGATAAAATGATACCAAAAAAACAAATCTTTTTAAAATAGTATGAGGAATCTCCTTTCTTCCTCTATTGTCTTCAAATCATGTCATTCATTTGTCTTCAGGTTTATCAGTACTATCCTGTACTTTTTCCGTTTCTACTTCCAGTGGAACCTCTCTTATGGTGGGTATGGTTCGGGCGTAAGGATTTTGCGCGTCCATCAAAGGCGCCTCTAATGTCAACGTACCTTCATTTGTCAATTTTGACGTCAGAGCTTCGATGTCAACAGTTTTTGGCAGTTCGTAGTTCTGACAATACTCGCGGTATCCCTCTTTACCTGTATCTTCCTGTATAGCGCGAACCCGGAGACGGTTGCCAAGCAACCGAACCTCGATATTCTCAGGTTTGAAATGAGCAAGATCGATCGCTACCTCAAATTTATTTTCATTTTCGCCAATGTTATTGGGTTCACCTTCCGATGCAGTTTCACGTTTACCTTCCATCTTTTCTACAAACCAGCGTGCTGGGCGTATTCTGTTGCGACAACGAGCGAACGAGGACATCAATGGACGCTCGTTCACCATGTCTTCCATGCAGACAAATGTCTCGTCGAGTAATCGACGCCGGGGCATATCTGCCCACTGACGTGGACATGGGTCCGATCTCCAACGAGGCCACTGCGATTCATTCATGACTTCATGCATCTTACGGCCACGGCCCATATGTCGAGCCATTCGAAACGTGGGGAACATGCGACACGACATCTTGGAAACCCCTCAGTCTGAGATTAAGTGCTTGTGTTGCGTTGTGTTGTGTTAAAATATGACTAGCAGTAGCAACAACCACGTAGTATACTGCGTGAGTCGGAATTCAGCCGGCTATATGTACAAACCACATTCAGTGGGTCGGAACCAGTTCTAAATTTATCGTCAACAGTTTGGCGTCACTGGATGCAGTAAACAGTGAGCGGGGCTTATGCTCACGTACTAGTACACCGATCCGGGATGGACTGGATCCGCTCACTGCAGAATTCATAAGCCTTTTTTTTGTCAGAAACCGGGATTGTTTGTACAGCGATGTCTGTTCATCTCTAATGTTGAGTGTTACTACTCCACTGTCTCCTGATTTTTTTTTACCCACCATTTATTATCATGTATATCAGGGAAAAGTCACTAGTACCTATAAACATAATTTATTCTGAAGTCACAAGACGGGTGTCATTAAACTAGTACCATTTTAATACCTAATTCAGTGAACACGGAGTAGTTGAGTCGAAGCATATATAGAAGGCACAATTTGATACGTTGACAAACCTGTCAAAACAAGCTGTTCTCTGATTGGCCCGATTGTTAGATGTGCAGTGAATGCAGCATTGACACTGCAGTTCGGCGTCTTCTACACCGTCTGTGCTGGGACAGCGCTTCCGGTGACGACACAACGGTGAACGCAGAGAAGTGTCACTACAACTGGTTCGATTCAGTGAACACAGAGAAATGTCACTATAACTGGTACAAATTAATTCAGTGAACACAGAGAAATGTCACTATAACTGGTACAAATTAATTCAGTGAACACAGAGAAGTATCACTATAACTGGTACAAATTAATTCAGTGAACACAGAGAAGTGTCACTATAACTGGACAGGTAGAAATTAATTCAGTGAATTTTAATTCAGTGATTGCAGAGAAATGTTACTGTAACCGGTACATTTTATTCAGTGAAAATAAATATCACTATAATTGGTACAATCTAATTCAGTGAAAACAGAATGTCACTGTATTAAACTGGTAAATTGCATTCAGTGAATACAGAACTCGTTCATTTGCTTATGTATTAAAACACTAACAAGGCAAATGAACAGTCAAGTGTCAATGACCTTTATCAAGCAGCCGAAGATTTTCTGAATATTTCAGAACCAACCAATCCTTTCTATGTGTAAAACACACACAAAATGACATACTAGTAGTAGAACAATCCAAATTATACAATTCCCCATCGCCATTTGTAACCCAAAGATCACAGGAAAATGTTGATGAAAGTAAGCGGGTTGTTCATCAAGCATTAACTGCGTGCTATGAATGGTACGATCAAGACGTCGACCTCGGTCAGTGACACAACACATCATCTGCATAAAAATAATTATCTCCCGCCGAGCTACTGATTTGTGCTGATGAACTGAACGATTACGTTTACTGGACGCATGAAGATGGGAACAGCCACTGGTGGCGCTGTATGCAATCGATGCGGTAGAAAATGCCCAGATGTCCGCCCCGATGATTGTATAACGAGAAAGCTGTTGTTAAATTTGGTGACCAGTTTAGTATGATAGAAAGCGTTCACAGTCTTCAAATAACCACAATGAACAGAATGGGGGGGGGGGGGAAATCAAGAATGAATATACGTGATTCCGGCGTTTCATACTAAATGCTTTCTATTAATAGTGCTGAACATTGCCTTCTTATTCGAAGCCTACACATAAGCGACGCTACCAGATATATACAACAGCTAACAAGAGAACTGGTGATGGCTGTGAACCTTAACTGCCTCAGCACAAAGGCTGTTGTGTAATATCAGGGAATGTATAGGAAATGTATTGTAGTGTTACCTCTGTATAATTTACAATATATCTGGATTAACCTTCACTATTAAGGACAATATGGGAGTAGAAGCAAGGCTACGCAAATTTTGCAAAATAGTTGTTTAGAATTACTAGACATTGTGGGATATAAAGAAGTGGCCTATTAACCCATGAAACATACTCGCACATATCCATACATGTCTTATTATGTGGGACAAAGCTTTCATGTACACAATCATAATAACTGGAAATGGTTTCACAACAAAAAAAGTGTTATTGCTGTAAATAATTATGAACAATAAAAACTGAGATTTAGAAAAATTATGAACAAAAAATAATGAAAGTCTGTGATTTTCTGTACAGTTTATTAACCGAGCCATAACACTTATAAAAAGCGCAGTGCTGAGATTCACTTCGAGTATATCAGAAATATAATCTTACAATTGCATACGTACAGTTTGGTGACATAATTCAAGTTTTGTATAGTTCAATATGCATACAACCACCCATATACTAGTACATTTTAAAAATAACCCCCCCTTTCAAATTGTGCAAATACAAACAAGACATTAAACCTTCCTGATAGTAACATGTAAGCGTTGTATAAACCCGAATAAAAAGTCTTGAGTCACGGCGAATACTTCTATGGAGTAGCCCATTTAAAAATCTCTTCAACTAGCCAATCACTAATGTGCGAGATCATTAATTAAATAATATTAATTTTATTAACACTAACGCATTCCCGGGAGGGATTGGCAATGGCTACAAATAAAAGGTTAAAAACAAAAATAAATAAAATAAAATAAAAACATACAAAACACTAAGCTAATACATTACTGTAACAGAGAAAGAAAATATTAAGACTAAATTATTATACAATAAAAAGATAATCTATTAGCAAGGAGTATTCCGTTGTATCTGTCGGTCTCAGTTTTCAAGTTATGGTCACTGAAGCGGAATTATTTAAATTTTCGCGCATCTCAATATTTTGCAGGGTAATAAGGTAGGTTTCAAAAGCAAAATTGTTTTTTTTAATTCTCTGTATGTTATTAATTATTTATATTTCATTTTGTTTTGATTGATTGTCGTTACGTAATTAACTTTTCCAAGTTGATATAAATGATGTTTGTATATTTTTATTAATTTGTCCTAATTGCCTTGCTGTTAGAATTTCATTGTCAACCACGTTAGACTGGTTTATGTTATTCAAAAGGGAATCTACCATTTACTATTAATTTCTTAATATTAATAATTTACTATTAAACTCGAAAACATCGTAATGTTATTACTTCTACACCAGGTAACACCAATTAAAACCAACATCGATTTAGAATTACTGTAGCCAATGACATTGAAATTTGCTCTTCCATAAAGCAGCAATTTCCCTCTTCTAATAATCAAAACTACCCTTGATACCCTGGAGAAGTATGTCCATTGTTTCACAACAACGACTGTCCCAAGAGATTTTTGTCTTCTCAATTTCTCAAGATAAACATCTCAGGGTTGTTTTGTTTACTAGAAGGAAATATCCTTTGACAGCATTTCTTGAATTAATTTCCATTGCACAAAAAGGCAGCAAATACTGTTACTGAAGCACAGAATATGCATGAATTTTTTTCCCCGGCCATTCACACAAACTGTAAATCAAGACTTTTACCGCATCCATAGTTGTTGACAACGATGGATGATGATGGATGTATTGTGACGTATTTTGACCCCCGGATTCTGACCTTGCATCCTTCCCACATTTACTCCCCTTTCATACCCGTTCAATTTCCTTTCATTATTTCATCCAGATTCCATGATATTTTATATTTAAAACCAACCTTTATTTCACAGTCACTCTAGTTTTCACTTTTTTAAAATTATCTTACTTATCTTCACTCCCATCATGCAATCTCCCATAGTACTTCCGCAAACACAGCGGCGATCGCCAACATATCTACAAATAACCTCGCTCTCAGGAGCTGAGGAATAAGCCAGCGTCTGCTGAGGATTTGTACACACCCCCACCGTGTCATATGCTGTAATAAGAAATGACAATCCTGATTTCCCTATAAGTCTGGATGTTCAATATATTGTTCCTGTCGGAAAACGTTTCCAAAGCTGGTCTTACGTGCAACAGCAGCTCGGGAAAGATGAGACAGCATGACTTGTCAGCCTCGCATGGTGGGGTGATTATCCTCTGTGATTTTGCCTTTTAAGCCCACAAATTTGAGTTTTTATAATGGCGAAATTGGTCAAAACTTACCGAAATCTAATTGGATTCTGGTTATTGGAACATTCTTCAAAAGTCACGAGTTTATTTTCAGTGTTTGGTCGGCCGACTAATCCAGCCATGTGCTGCATGTACTCTGAAAATACGTACAGTCACAAAAATGGTGATTTAAGTATTTAAAAATACGATATACAGTTGTCTCTGTGCCATGCTTCAAAATAATAACTGTTTCACTATTTCCGTCACTAATTCATTTCTATTTGATAAGGTTGTATTTTGAAAAAAAATGTTCGGTAAATAGTTTAGGCAATACATCACTGAACTATTGCAACAATAAGAATACACGTGTACTGTCGCCGCAGTAGCGACTGTACAACAAAGTGTCGAATGCGTTTACGCAAATGAAACAAAACAACACAAATATGCACTCCAGCACGTGGATGTTATTAATAACAGTACTATATCTTTGAAAGCGACAAATCCGGCAAAAATGTTAACTTTTTATCAACATTTTAAATATTTGAAAATTGTGCACTCAAGTTCAGAATCGACCATTCGCTCTTCGGCCCATCTTGAATTTTCAAGGTGAATGTTCCGGCGAAGCACTCTGTGAAGGGAGGAATGTTCGAACGGAGCAACACTGTACAGCCGGACGATGTCTTCAGTCATGTACGTTGTCATACATGACGTACTACTACTTATCGACGTATCGATGTCTGAATTATAATTACAATTTAAAAATAATTACATAATCCTTAAATGTAGTATTAAAGATATAATGTGAACGAAAACACGGATTTGGCAGTATTGTTGTTTGAAACGTCATACTGTAGTCCAACTCAGATGCTGATTTATCACGAAATACTAGTAACAACGTCGCTTTTGTAGGACACGCAGCAGTATATGTTAGATAAAAAACCAAAAACACTAATACGCATGCGTATTAAAATACTCGTTCGTATCATCTTTAAAGATGATTCTATTCAAAACACTTCACGTATCATTATCTGTACTTGTTGGTAATCGGCAATTGCAAATAATAAACCATAATTGTCCAAGTTTCGCAACAATAACAAAGGTTTGGTGGATTAACTTATTATTATTGAGTGGCGGTCGTCGCGCCGCGTCCTGTTCGATATGCGACTCACAGTGACGTATACAACGCGTGTAAAATACATTGTGTATTTCAGCTTCTCGGCTCCTCCCCTTGTTTATATCATAGCGAGGAAGCGTGAACTCGGCTATTAAATTATGCCCGAAAATGAATTAAAACTAGTTAATATTTTGGTAAATTGATGATGACGTTCCATGCTATTCAACTCCCATTTCACTCTTTTACAAAGTATCTAGTCTGCCGTAGGTGGCGTGCTCGCGACTACAGGAGTCATATATTGAACGATGTATTTTACATTCGTTGCACCCGTCACATGGAACCCACAGCGAACAAAATGGTACGAATTCCAAAGTCGTTATCACCGTTCATAATGTTGTATTGTGAGGTTTTATCAAAAAGTATTACAACCTTGTCCCTTTAATAAGATAATAATTCAATTCAAAAAAAAGGATACAAGCTAATGATGTACTAGCTGCCCAGTACAGTCTTTTCTTTGCAGTGTAAAATTTAAAATAAAAGGTCTGAAACAATACCATAAAATATGTAAACCAAATTTTGCACGGAAAATACTAGTTAAATATTCAGACCAAAAATGAACACAAATAATGAGGTCATAATAACATTATTTAATATTCATGTTTCTCAATTAACATTACCATATCTGTAAATGACATAATGATCACTATAATTGTCTTCCCATCTTGTGCACGCATTTGTATGTATGACAAATGTTTTATTTTAGCAAAATTTTAACTTCTCAATTCTTTAATATTATACATACCAGTGACACCAACATTAATCGTGACGGACATGTTATTATTGGTGATAAGATTCCCAAATTTGAAGATGATCAGATACAAATTGTTTGTAGTATCTTCGGGGGCAGAGCTACGTCACAGACGTTCCACGTTGCTAAGACGCGCACCACTGTACCATGCATTTCTATGGGCTCTGTGCGCGCTGCTGTGGAACGCCGGTCGAGCCGGTGAAAATTCGAGAAAACAACACAAACTCAACTTTAAAGTAATCCCGAACAACCAAATTTATATATGTTACACACGTAGGGCTAATTTTGTTGCACTGTTCAGAGGAGTCTCAACAATCATCCCAAAGTACCGTTTTATGCGAGTTTTGGGCCTTTGTTTTCACCGCCGCAGGTTGCCAGACGGTGAAAATACCCGGATGTCCGCCCCAAGGATTGTAACCACAATAAATAGCAATTTTGAGTGAAATTTCGCTAATATCTTAAAAATAAAAAAAATCCAAGTTTGAAAAACTGATCGAGTTATTGTAACTACAAGATAAAGGTTTATACCGGAGACGACAACAATAACAACGACGAGGAAAGACAACGTTTCCTCATACCCCTTCATCTAGTAAGTAAAATTAATGAAAAAACAAGAAACATGTCAGCTGATTGCTAGGAGCTCCGGTGTTTCAGGTGCATAATGAGCAATCAGTTTAGCTATTTTGAAAATACCCCAAACGCCTTTATTCACTAGAATGAGAATGTTTTAGTTATCGACAGATAGAAGAATAACTTGACAAGGTCACGTGAGTAGCGCCCACTGCGGTGCTCCAAACCCAACGTTAGTGAGGTCGAAGGCGCTACTAACGCCTACATGTCAAGAAGGAATCAAATCAATCAGACATCTAAAGTTGGTGGTTTTCAAAAACAAAACAATCGTTCTGGTGGTGTTCAAAAAGACGTCAGAAATATTTTTTACCAAATATGAAAAAAAAAATATTCACTAAAACAATGGTCATAAAAATCAACAAATTTGAGAGTTCTACATAAACAAATATCAATGCAATGCGCTTTCAATAAGAAGTCAAAAATAGCATTTTTTACCAAATTGACAGAAATATTGACTAAAATTAGTAGATATATAGGGTATCGTCACAAAATCTGATTGAGGTCTAACCAAAGTTTTTACATATTAAATATCAAAGCAACTGGGATAGCTATTTTCAAGAAGAAGTCGTAAATATCACCTTTTGCCAAAAATGTCCGTAATTTTAGGGAATTGAAGATATCAGCACGACATAAACAAGGTCTATCCGATGCACCTATATAATAAACATGAAAGCAATTGGACTTGCAGATTTTAAGGGAAAAGTTCAAAATATCTCTTTTTACTAAAAATGACAAAAAAAAACATGCATCAAAATTTGAGATTTGAATATAGCAACACGAAATGCACAAATCTGAGAATGGTCTACTCAATCTACATATATACTAAATTTCAATTCAATCAGTTTTTGGGAAGAAGTCGAAAATGTAAAAAGGTGACACAGACGACGACGGACAATCAGACGTATGACTACAACGAGTAAAAATGTTATTGGTGGCATTCTCACATAAATCATGTTCAGTCAGACGGCCACTGTGGCATCATAAAGTCACAATTCATTTTATAGTGCGCCATCAATAGATGATAATTGTTAGTAATACACACGAACATTAATTGTTACATAACGAGAAAGAGTCGTTAACCAGAGTTTGAATTATAAAATGCTGTATTTTATTCTAAAGTAAATTCCCATTCCCGTTAGTGACACTGACTATACAAATAATAGCAAATAGTAAACACTGCAAATATCGACAGAGAAAATGATATCAACAAAAATCTAGTTAATAGTACGAGTAATCTCGTTTCTTCTTGCATTGTCATTTTAGCAGGTCATTCATTTGTCTTCAGGTTTCCCATTACTACTAGTATCCTCCTCTTTCTTCGCTTCTACTTCCGCTTCTTGTGGAATCCTCCTAGTATCTTCCTCTTTCTTCGCTTCTACTTCCGCTTCTTGTGGAACCTCCCTGGTGATAGGTATGGTTCGGGTGTAAGGTTTTCGTACGTCCATCAAAGGCGCCTCTAGTGTCAACGTACCTTCTTTCGTCAAGTTGGACGTCAGAGCTTCGATGTCAACGGTTTCTGGCAGATCGTAGTTCTGGCAATACTCCATGTACTCACGGTATCCCTCTTTTCCTGTATCTTCCTGTATGGCGCGAATCTGGAGACGGTTACCCTGCAACCGAACCTCAATATTCTCAGGCCTGAAATTAGCAAGATCGATCGCGACTTTGAATTTGTTTCCACTTTCGCCAATGTTATTGGATTCAACCTTTGATGTATTTTCATGCTTGTCTTCAATTTTTTCTTCAACACAGCGTGCTGGACGTGTCGTGTAGCGACAACGAGCGACAGAGGCCATTGACGGACGCCCGTTAGCCATGTTTGCCATGTGTTCCATGTAGCCGAAGGTCTCATCTAGTAATCGGCGATGTGACTTATCTAGCCACTGACGCGAAAATGGGTGTAGTCGCCAGTGAGGCGGTGACTGCAATTCGGTCATGACTTCTTGCATCTCACGGGCCATCTGTCGAGCCATTCGGAACGTGGGGAACATGCGAAAAGTCATCGTGAAATGGTTTAGCAGTAGGTTGTGTGAAAATATGACTTGCAGTAATAACGACTACGTAGTATACTGAGTGAGTCTGTGTTCAGCCGGCTACCTTATATATATATAACCAACATTCTGGAAAAATGACGACATCTCTGGAAAATATTGCCCTAGAATGATGACGAAACTTCTCGAACGAATTGCATTACGGAATCCCCATTGCCTTTGTTGACATGTTTGTTATGTCTTTACTCCAATAATGGGAATCACCCACATTTCTTAAGTCCGGGGGGGTTACGTTCATAGTTGAAGTACATGGGTACGCGCCGTTGTTTTGACCCCATTCTCACGGTCCAGTCAGTCTTTTTGACATCCAATTTTATGATTTTCGGCCATTTTAGCAAACAACATTTGTGTTGCGAAAAACGCCAATTGTCAAAAGCGCCCTCAATGTCGATCTTTTTGGGTCCAGTTTTCACCTGGCTGCAAAGCACTCCCACCCAAAATACGTAGTAAAATAGTTCCGATTTCGTCTGCGTGGGGGGAGGGGGTGTTACGCCGCGTAAACTTTCAATAGCTCATCAGAACGTCGGGGACCAGGGACATCATCGAATAAATTGTGCGACCTAGAAATCACACACACCCTCTTCTCGCACGGAAAACGAGTGGTGGCGCTAAAACTAGAAACTCTTCGATTCCCAGGTTGAACAACGTTCAATCGCACGGTTTCGCTAAAGCCGGCTATTCACAACCGACTGTTTTTCCACTTGAACTAGAAGCCAGTTCAAATTTGCTAGAGGGCATGTGTAACTGAAAATGGCGGAATAAACAAGAATTCAAACGCGAAAGCTCTTTAGTTATGTTTCGTGTGTCCCCAAGTCAACACATCACACATGTATAATAGAACAGATAGAACAGAATAGAAGAGATAACTAAAAACAACAATCTTTCAGAATTATCAAAACAACATGAAAAGAA